TCAAATTTATTACATACTCTTAAAGAGCAATCTGAAGCAACTTTCAAAGCAGCACTTCATCATATCCACCTCTGTATTAACAAAAACTGTAATCTACTAGCCAAATCAACAGAACACAACTTAGAAAACATCTCCAAATTCTATTTTACTAACTTATTCAAAACTTACTTAGTATCAGAATCAGAACAAAAAAAATGAATTTACTCAATATTGAAATAGATATTTTTTATCTTAAACAAAAATTTGCAGTAAGCATTTCTATACCAACACCTACAGAAGAAATTAGAGTTTTAGCTATATCTACTGAAAAGTCATTTGCAAATCTTAACAAAGTAGCAAGTAATACTGCTCAATCTACATATTACTTATATTGCTATCTAAGAGCCTTTATGTTAGCAGCAAGAGACAATGACATACTTGTAGATTTCTCTGAAAAAGAAGCTCTAGAAAATATAATTAAAATAGCCAATAACATTCATACTCTTGCAAGAGTCATTATATATTTTAAATTGGAAATGGAATTTAAAATATTACTAAAACAAATATATATTAATTATAATTAATTCTACTCCTAGAAGCTAAAGATTTTTTGATAAAACATCTTAAAATCTCAATCTCAGAACAATATAAGAATTCTTTTTTTATACAGAATTCTAATACATTGACTTTCCAAAAGTAGATAAAAATATATTTACACTCTCAAAAAAACTACAAAAACAACTGAAAATACTACTCTTATCTTATAAGAGAAAAGTGCAAACTCTTTTTTTCAATAATGTCCTCTACAGAATACATTAATGAAGCTGCCACCTCTAAGATCATGATGTCCTTCACACCTAGTGGGCCATTTTTAAAGAAGAATGTCAACAATAGACAGGCAGTAAAGTTTACTATAAGTGAACTTATAAAAGACATCTTATATAATGCCTCTGATACTAATACTTCAACTCTCTCAGAGACAAACACCTGCTATAATAAGTTTTTAAAATAATACTATCTACTCTACTACCACAATCTATAATACTTAATGACTTTATTAAATATTTATGCAAAAACCTTTTCTTTGATCTAATCAAAATATCAGTTAACAATAAAAAAACAATAACATATATTTACATCAAAGTTACAGATCTTACTATTTCAAATCTATAGCTATAAATCCTATTCAATACTAATGTTGTTAGTCGAAATACCCTATTAAGTCAAATATTTAGACAATTTTGTGTTGAAATATATTTCGACATGACATTATCTTTTGTCGAAATATCAAAATTTTAAATTTGACTAAATGTCTAAATAGTTGACTAAATAAATACTATATGACTAATTGTCTAAATTAATGATAGAAGGCTTGTACATTAAAGTAACTGATTTTTACATTAAAGTAACTGATTTTTAAATTGATAGCAATCCAGATCCTAGTTATAAACTTTAACATAGTGAGGACTGTGTGAAAAAAACAAATATAAAATGTGAGAAAATTTTTAAGTAGGTATCATTTAGAAAAGCTTATATAATTAAACCTGGTTGATAGGGGAAAGCAACAGTTTTTGAACCAAACTTATTTTAAGGTATCCACAAAATAAACAAGTTTTTTAATTTAGACATTTCGACATAATTTGGAATTTTGGCATTATTTTAGAATTTCGGCAGACTAATTACCAAATGTCGAAAAATTTTTACAAACTCAAAACAATTTCAGCTAACAACATTATTCAATACAAATCTTATGAACATTTACCTATTCTAACATCACCAAACCAAATAATATCAAATTATAACAACTACTTCTTAAGCTCCAATACATTCAGAACACTCTTATAATAATCAACTTTATTTATTAATTAGTACACAATGTTCAAGGAATTAATAAAAACCTGAAACAACAAGTATAAAAAACTACTGCCTTTTTAACAACCTTAGCATTATCAGCATAACAGAAACCAAAATTGCAACCAATAAGTCAATTACTAAATTACAAAAATCTAAACACTTTACATACTTGTAGTTATGCACTAAAGGCTCTAAAGCAGGCATAACCATTATGATTCACAAGTTTATAAAAACTCATATTCACAAAATACTTTTTTTTAGGATATGCTATTGCAGTAAACATCTTCTTTAAACATGACTTTAAATTCAAAATTATTTCAGTTTATTTACTATGTAATAATATCCAACTAAGACTGTCAGTACAAAACACTATGATACAATAGCTTTAAAAAGCATATATATCAAATATTCAACCCACTATCCTAGAAAACTTCAATGTTCTGATAGTACTATCTACTCCTCTTCAATAATACAAGTTACTTCACTTTCTTTAATACAACAATATGTATAATCTGGCTACATATATACACAACTTAACATCTACCTGACAAAGCAATAGATACCAAAGTAGCATAGACTACATCTGGACTAATCAACCTTTTCTTTGATATCTTAATTTTTTACTATAGATGATTTTAATACTTGTACTCAAAGTGATCATAAAATTCTGAACTCTTGCTAGCTCTTTTCTTATTCATATATAGACAAACTCAGACATCATACCAAAACTTATAGGAGGACATTTTTATACAAAAACATAAATAAAGATAAATGGCAACAATTTGCAGACCAAGTAACCTTAAATCTTAATAATAAAAAACTCCACTCAGTATACAAACCTCAGAATTACTAAAATATTCCTAACACAAAATCCAAAACAGTATTATTTCTGCCACTATACAACATATTTCAAATAATAAATTTACTATCAGAAACTTTTAAAATATCTTTTCTACAAAGGCATCATCTTTACATTACAATCTCAAAAAATTAGACAATATTATTAAACAAGTTAATACTCACTAAAAAACCATATAGATGGATTTGATTCATTAAGGTGATAATTCAGAAATGATTTACATGCATAATTTGTATATATAAACAAATCACATGTTGTTTTTATAATTGTGTTACTGTTACTGTCACATAATGGATTTACATCTTTGCTATCTTTGTTCTCCAGACTTTCACTATTCTTATTGATCTCAAAGTTCTTTTATAAACCATGAAAAAGTTAAACATCTGAACAATAAAATAATTTCTCATATATATATTATAACAGCATCTTCAAACTATAATATCGAACAATTCAAAAATGAATTTATTATTTAAGTAAAAAAATAACTTCAATTTGGTCGTAATGCTGTTAAAAACAAAACAATCCAGTTAAAGCCTTTTTTAGAAAAATTATTTATTACATTATTTTATTGTATTCCTACTTTTCATTTTATTGTATCACAAAAAAAATATACAGTTAATTTCAAACAAAGTAAAGATTATGAAGAATTAGGAAATTTATTGAAGGATAATAGATAGAGTAGCAAAGAAGATGGATCAGGTATTACAGCATATGTTTTAATAAAAAATAAGTCTGAATTGTATTAAGTTAATTTTATATAAAAAGAATATATATATAAAAAACATTATTATATAGTTCAATAATATGTTCATTTAAAACTGATATTCAAGATTTTATTTTAAAATAAAGTAAATAAAATTTCTTTATTAATATTATAAAATAATAGTAAATTGATCAATAACAAATTTATTTATCTTTAATTTGAATAACTTTGTATGAATAAGTTGTTGAAATATTATAAATTCAATAATATATTTGTTGATTTTTATATTTTAGAATATTATATATTGCAGGCATATGATTTTTGCTACCACCCATTGTTGTTCCAGAAAAAAAAAGTCATATCTATATAGTTAAATATTAGCAAAATTATAAAATTATTTTAAATAATATTAATAGTTTCTTACATGTTCATGATTTTTTTTCAAAGCTAAAAGTTGAAAATAGATATAATAATAATTCTTTATTCTTTAAACTATGCATGAACTTAGATATATGTTTAGTTAACATATGTATATATGGTGTTATATTTTTTTTTGAATATATTCCTTACTGTTGATTTGGTGAATTTAATTTTTCAATTGTTGGTTGACTAAAATTTTTAACCCATTGTCTTGCATTATTTTCAAATAAATTAATTTTAATATTAGTTAAATGATGCATTATTTTATAAAGTCTATAGAATTCACATCAAAGATATTCTACATCTTTTACTCTATCTTGATTAAAATATTTAGCTATTTGAAAGCTTTTTAGTACTTTAAGTTTATCAGAACCCATTAAAGAAGTCCATGTTCAAGAACTAGAATTGATTATTAAAGAAAAAAATTCAAAATGCATACCAATTCACCTCATTTCATTAATTATTAATATATTTGTTTTTGTAAAATTTTTTTAATTTGCTAAAAGTTCATAAAAGGCATATTGTAATAATATATCTGAAATCCATAACATGATATGTAATTCATCAAGTATATAATTGCTTTCATTAATAATATTAAAAGGCATTAGATGCTTGCATCCTAAATATCAATTATAAATTTAGCAAATTATATTAAAATAAATCATTATAGTTTAATTGATATTGTTAAATTATATCACTAATGTACAATATCATATTAGTTTTAACAAATTATAACTTAAAATTTTGTTTATAAAAATACTTTTTGTGTTATAGCAAATAAAATTTCTTGTGAAATTTTGATATAAACTATGCTAAATCCTAATTCTAGTTCTAATTCTATATTTAAAATTACTAATATTTAATACATTATATACTGATATTAAACATCATAATATGATTTAACATAATTAGTTTAATTTATTGCTACTTGTAAATTAAAAATATCTTTAATTAAATTTTGCAATTAAGTGATTATATCTATAAATTACAATCTCTAATTTGCAAAATTTAATTAAAGTATATTATTTACAAATAGTAATAACTAATTTAATATTTACCACATGTATTTAATCCATTATTTCAATTTAATTTTATATTTGCATGTTGGTTTTTATGACAATTGCAAAATAGACAAAAATAGATTGAGTTAGCTGTATTAAGTTCTAATGCAAGTGCTAAATATTTTCAATCTTTTGTAAGAAAAAACTTTACAAGCCATATAATTTCTATTTTATTAACAAATCCATTATCTTTTAATTTTAGAAGCTTATGAGCAAATTTTAGATAAATATAATTTAATGAATTATAACTTTCTTTACCTATATATAAGCAAATACTTTATAATAATATTATAATTAATAATAATAATTAATAAAAATAATTAATAAAAATAATTAATAATAATAATAATAATTAATAATAATAATAATAATAATAATAATAATAATAAATCTTACCTATATGCATGCTTTGAATTTAATACTATTTTACCTTTATTTAGTATACTAATAGCTAGAATAACATGACTTTTTATTGACCAATATTTTTATTATTGCTACTAATTTTTATATTAATTGTATTACCAAAATAAAGAACAGTTGGATTTGAAATAGTTAAAACTGGAACTAAAACTGTTAATAAAGATTTAATTGATCAATAAACAGCATCTTCAGTTTTATTATCTAAAGACTGATCAATTTTAAATAATGAAATTGGCAAATATTGTTCAATTTGATTATTGATTTCTTTATATCATTGTTCAATCAAATATTCTCGAACTATATCCAAGTTTATAGCTGCTAATTTTTGATATTTATTATAAGAAATCAATGTCTCATCACATATCCAAACAATAGAAATATAATGTTCTTGCTTATTTTTATTTTTAGATAGATAATTAAGAGTTAGAGCTTTATTTGCAATATTAAGTTTTATTGATTTAAGCTTTATAATATTTCTATCAAATAAGTTAACAAATTGATATTTTTGAAAAAGATCTATTACTTGAATGTTTAAATCTTTAGCTACTAGTGCAATTCATTTGTTCTTTTGTAAATCTGACTTTAATTTTGTATAAGGATGTTTATGTTTTTCAGAAGTTTTTATTCTTGCTTTGTACAAACAATCAATATCAAAGCCAAATAAAATACTTTAGAAATATGTGAATTATGTTTGTTACAAATATCCTATAATAAATTTATTTGTTTTTTAAATTAAATACATAAAATATAATAATTTTAATAGTTTTTTGTTTTATATTTATTATTAAAAATTTAGTTCTGACATTATTTGCTAAGATTATACTACTACTTAATACTATACTATTGCTATAGGGATCTATTTAACTAATTGTATAACTAACATCACCAGTTTGTTGATATTTAGTTTTACATCTTACTGATAATTGTAATAAATTCATTTTAATTTCATATTTATCAGGAATTTGATATATGATGCCTTTCTTTTTTTGGATAAATTTAGGAACAGATGGATAGTAGCCAAGTCTAATTACTTTGTAATATTACTATCGATTATTGCTAACTGTTTTATACACAGCTGTAATATACAGATATTTATTATAAAATATATACTATCTTTATAGTTTAGTAATTTTTGTACTAAATATTACAAATATTTATTAGTTCAATAATGATAAAAATAAATATTATATTTAAATATGTATTTATAATTAACCTTGATTTTCTAAATTTTTATTTGATTCTTCAATTAACTTGATCTAATTCAAGCATATTTTATAAAATAATTATCAAAAAATTAAAAAATTTACTATAAAAAAAATAAATTTACAATTGTAAAAAAGCTGCCAGTTTTGTTAAAATCACTATCATTATTCTGCAAATCTTGATTACTGTGTTTTAATTTGGTTATATTATTTGACATACTCAGTTCCATATTTACTTAAGATTTTTATTAAACTTTTTTAAAAATTAAATTATACTTATAAAATGGTTTTTTGAAATATATAGCATAACTTGTTTTAGCAAAACTTTTATTACTATTATTAAATATTTCAGAGGTAAGTGGAGGTTTGAAGATAAAAAATTTATTGCTCATTAGTTAAACAGATAACTTTTATAACTGCAAGTGTTAAGTAACTATAGCAGTAATACAATAAAAGTAATATATTGATATAAATAAAGTATATGATATAAGTTTTTCTAACTAACTAATAAATTATATTGCACATAGTTAAAGTGATATTTGTTGTAACTTACATTTACTTCACAGTTACTAAATAAGGAAATAATTCAGGAAAAGATTTAATCAAAATTTTTGATTATCATATCAGATTACTGAATTATCACATAAAGATTTATATATATCAAATCTGCCTATATGCTCTACTTTTATATCATATCAACATAATCACTTTATTAATCAAATAAATATATCTAATCAGCTTAATGTTTTACCTCTACTAACTGTTCACAACTTATTGCCAAACTGGCTAGCACATGCTAAAACTGAATGGAAATCTATCTAGCATGCTTGCAATATAGAAAATATTAAAGAAATAAAACAACAAATTAATAATAATATTTCCAAAAGATGCTCCAAACTCCAATCAAACCAAAAATCAATAATTAATAGCATACTTAACTGTCACAAGGACCTAGTTAAATTCAACAACATTAAAACAAGCAATAATGTAATTACTAACTCTCAAGACATCAAACAGCATATTTAACAACACTTTGATCAATAGACATTCTTTAGATATACCAACCAATAAATCTTTAAATCTAACTGAAAAGAAGGATATAACTGCAAAATGTACATTAACTTTGAATGATATAATAATATTATTAAAAAATTTACTATTACTAAAGTAACTAAAACATTATCTTATTTTCCAAACAACAAGACCTGTATTCCTTTTAGCATTAGTTAGAAATGTTAAAACATGCAGGCATAGTTTTCTTTCAAGCAATTACAGCCTTCCTAAATAGATGTATTATCTTAAACCAAATTTCTAAGCAATAGAAAAAGTGTAAAATTTTTCCAATTTTCAAAAAACCTATTTTTGATTGCAACTTAATTAATACCAACCTATTAACTTTCTTGAACATACAAAAAACTATATACAAAACTTTTTACAAATTACTTAAACTAAGTACTTATTAAATATGAGATTCTATCATCCTATAATTATATTGCTTTGCCAAACAATAGCATGGCTATACCTATATATATCTTAAATAATATAATCGAAGATATATCTTGCAACTCCAAATAGTCTTGGCTTATATCCCAAGACATGAGCAAGGCTTATGACTTAGTTAATCTGAACCTGTTTGAAAAAGCACTAATTTATATTAACATGTCTTCTAAGCTAGTAAATATACTTACTAATTTATTAACAGGCTTTCAAAATAAAATAATTACTAACCTTGGTCTAACCAACCTATATACAGTTAAAAATAGAATAGACCAGAGAGAAACAATAACTTTACTATTCTGGCATATTTATTATAATTACTTATCTGCAAAATTGCATTTCAATATAAAGGTTACTTTTATCTATAACTTAGAAAACCTATCTTCAAACACCTAAATTTTAAAGCCTTTATACATCTATATTAGTATTATCTTACATAGATGATATACTCTGGATAGCAAAAACAAAACAAAAACTAAAATAAATTACCCAAACTGTTTCATCTTTTTATCTAATAGTCAACATTCAGATCAATGCTACCAAATCTGTTTTTATTTCTAATTTACCTAAATCTAATATTCAATTTTGCAACTCTATTTTAAAATTTATACCTGTTAGCCAATCATTTAAGTTTTTAGGTTGTTAGTTTATACTTAATAATAAACAAACTAAACAAATCAAAATTATTCAAGAAGAAACACTTCAACTTACAAACATTACTAGTACAAAGAAAATTATGAATAAACTAATTATCTATATAATTAATATAGTTATTATATATATATTTGAATATTGTGATAACAGATATTGTAATACTGAATATTGTAAACAATTATATGAAAAATGCATAAAATGCAATAAGTGCAATAAGTTACATTTAGGATCAAAAATGGTATTTCAAATTCAGAAAGGTAGATAAGAAATAAGGAGATGATGTAAAGACAAATTACATATTTTTAAGAATATTAAATAAATCACTATAAATAGTTTTAATTAGTTTTAAGGAATAATAAGTGCAAAATCACATTTGTAAGTAACAAATTTTATATTATAAATAAAGGACAAAATGGCTCTTAGAAGTAGTACACTTCATTGGCTTTATTAAAATACAAGTCTTAATACATTATAATACTTATAATAAAATACTAATACTCTCCCTGTTTAAACTCTGTAAACCTCTATAAACATCATCATTTGTGCAAGTTCTTGTTCATGTGACTTATCCTACTTGTATTTATTGACTCCAAGTAACCAAAAGCCTTAATCACCCACTAGCCAAATCTAACACCCTTTTTTGAAAAGGTTATCTATTATACATTATGTAAGATATTGGATTGTGAAGTAACAAAGTTGCAGTTATCTGAAACAACAATATAGATTACACAACATTATTATGCCTCACTCCATATGCAAAAACATTCTTACTAAATACTTAACAATAGCCAAATGCAAATTCCACCTAGTATACTCAATCTCCAATAGTATTATGCTTAATCTATACTTGTATAATGTTTACAACATATAAAACATTTAACTCTAATATTATATTACTAACTTCTTATTATAACTTAATAACTCTAACTTACTAGGAACTTCAACATGAATAAGACTACAACAGCTTCAAAACAATCTATAATTAACTATTAATATACTTTAACACCTCAATCTTATCATTAATGATTCAAAAAACATACATGAATTTCAAAAATATTCAATTACTAAAACACTTAAACATATTCATAACAGCTAATTTCAATATTTTATAGCCAAACACTATATTATATGATTTTTAATCACTAGAATCAATTTTATTCCAACACTCTCAATATATTAGTTTCAAAAAACAAATCAGAAATTTCAATATTCTATATCTTAAACAGCTTTATACAACTGACAACACCATATTATTGAAATAGAAACAACTTTCAGCATAACTGTCATACTTACCTAAAGGCTGAAAACTATTATAGTTCACTTATTTAGAAGTACTATAATGATCTACAATAGTTTCAGAATCCTTCTTCCACACTACTAACAACTAGAATATAATTCATTTGCATACAGTTTACAACATATTTCTAAAAAATCTAAATTCTGATTACTTATATATACTAACAATAAGATTATTATTTGTAAAATCTGCAGATATTGCAAAAACACTAATCAAATATCTATCATATAGTGGCAAACAAACATTAATATAAATCATTTTGGCTACTATTCCCTTTTACCAACCTAAAGCTTACCTTGCTTAGACTGCTATTTAAACTTCAACAGAATTTAGAAT